GTGTCAAACCAGACCCTAGTAAAGTTTCTGCTGTGCAGAACTGGCCCACCCCCAAGAACATAACTGAAGTACGCTCTTTCCTGGGACTATGTTCTTACTACCGTAGGTTCATGGCCCAATTCGCCACGATAGCCAGCCCCTTACATCGTCTGTTAGAGGCCGGACAGACGTTTAAGTGGACTCATGACTGTCAAGCGGCTTTTGAGAAATTAAAGGCCGCCCTCACCGGCAACGAAGTCATGTCATACCCCAATGATGATGGGTTATTCATCATTGATACCGATGCTTCAGATAGTGGCATCGGTGCTACTCTATCGCAACTCCAGTGGTGTGATCGGACCCAGAGGGAGGAAGAACGGCCGATAGCATATGCTAGTCGGTCGATGACAAAGCCGTAGCGTCGCTACTGCACTACGAGGAGAGAACTCCTCGCAATTGTCACCTTCCTTCAGTACTTCCGACACTACCTACTGGGCAAACAGTTCCTCATCAGAACTGACCACAGCGCTCTTCGATGGGTCATGTCTTTTCGTGAGCCTGTCGATCAGATGGCAAGATGGCTTCAAATCTTGTCTCAGTTCGACTTCAAAATCGAACATCGACCAGGGAGGAAACATGGCAACGCAGATGCCCTCTCTAGGGTGCCATGTGACCCTGACGATTGTCCGTGCTACGACGGAACGACCATACTCGCTGAACTCCCCTGCGGCGGTTGCGAGAAGTGCAAAGCCAAAAGCGAGCTGTGGTCCGATTTTTCGAAAGTCGACGATGTGGTCCCCCTTTCGACCAGACGAGTAAACGCTACCTCCGCTGAAGTTCAATTCCCAAAGAGAACTTCAGCTGCTGACGATCAGCCCTCGAGCAATGACGTCAACCCTCAGGCCAAACCCGTATCCCCACGGACAGTCCTCGTACTGATGGCAACGTTGGTAACCCTCCTACTGGTTCCTGTGTGTAGCATTGGTAAACTTATTTGGCGCTCGTGCAGTGAGTTTACCTGCAGCGACTTTGACGATGGACAGTTCAAAGGTCGTTTTTCGCACACAGCCACGCCTACTGGAGAAACTCCCGGGCAAGCCAATTTGCCCACAGCCATTCGGGTAGTACGGCCGAACAACCGAACTAAACCTGCTACAAAATCCTCTGATTCAGCTGGAAGAGAGATGAACTGCAACGCGCCCTGCATCCCGCAAAAGGATGCCGATGCCGGTTCAAGTGCCGGGCAGCAACTTGCAGAACAATCGAGTCCAACCGGACAGCAAGACGACCAAGATGGTGAGGTCACGAGTGATCGTGCCCCTCCTAGCGCCCCCGCCGGTCCCAGCGCCGGACGAGCCACATCTTGGGTCGGTGGCTACACGACAGAGGAAATAGCTAATCTGCAGAGAGCAGATCCAGACCTGAAGATCATCATTGAGTTGATGACCAAATCACCTGAGAGACCAAGCAGAGACCAGATAGCACGCGAAAGTCCCACCACTAGGAACTTGTGGTTGCTATGGCAACAGCTGGTGCTAAAAGACGGTGTTCTTTTTAAAAGATGGGTAACTCCTGACCAGACCCAATCTTACCTGCAACTTGTGATTCCTCAAGCACTGCAGAGTGCCGTTCTTCAAGCTGCACACGACGCCGTCACCTCTGCTCACCTCGGGGTGAAGAAAACTGCTCAGAAGATCAAATGCCAGTTTTACTGGTACAGGCTTAAGGAAACAGTTCGTGACTGGGTCCGCAAGTGTGCTAAGTGTGGTGCCCGCAAAAGGCCACACACAACCCCCAGGGCACACCTCGAGGATTATCGAGTCGGAGCACCGATGGACAGACTAGTCACGGACATCCTTGGTCCATTCCCTATCAGTGACAATGGGAACAAATACATCCTTTTAGTCGGTGACCAATTCACAAAGTGGATGGAGGCTTATCCGATTCCCGACCAAAAGGCAGAGACGGTGGCTCATAAAATCGTCTACGAATATATTTCCCGTTTTGGCCCACCCCTTGACATTCACTCCGACCAAGGCCGAACTTATGAGTCTCATCTCATGCAACAAGTTTGTAAGCTGTTGGAGATCCACAAGACTCGAACTTCCCCATACCATCCATCCGCCAATGGACAGGCGGAGAGATTCAATCAAGTTCTGGTTGACATGATCGCAGTGTATGTTGACAGTGACCAACGCAATTGGGACATCCACCTCCCACTTCTAACTTCAGCGTACAGAAGTTGCCAGCATGAATCTACAGGTTACTCGCCTAATATGCTGATGTTAGGTCGAGAAACCCATCTACCAATTGCGCTTGTACTCGGTGGCCCCAACACAGAGGACCAACCTCAAGATGAATGCGAGTATGTTGCATCCGTGAGGAAACGGATGGAAACCGTCCATCATCTGGTTCGCCAACATCTTGGTAAATCCGCTGAAAGACAGAGGAAAGACCACGATCCCCGAGTTTCCCAAAGAAACTATCAAATTGGTGACTTGGTGTACATGCGAGACAGCACAAAAACCCCTGGGTTATCTCCCAAGCTAAAACGAGCTAAATGGGCAGGCCCCTGCGTCATTCTCAGCACATTGAGTGATCTTCTGTTTGAAGTCCGGTTCAAGCAACGGGGAAGAACAAAAATTCTTCACCATGACCGACTTAAGCAGTATCTCAGTGACGAGGTCCCAAAATGGATGCTGGACCTTCGTAAAACTTTGATGGAGAAGGGTTCTCTTTCAAAGGATGATGCTGTCCCCCGCAGTAACGCCAGGAAAACATCCAGCACCAAACGCGCTGATGACCCCTCATCAGCCCCGCCTGCTACAGTATCTGTTTCCCCGACACCAACTGTAGCGCCCTCTGCGACAGGAACTTCGCCCTTGTCAGAGAGGAGGAGTACCCGTTCTAAGAGAAGGCCAGCGAGACTTCAGGATTATTTCTAGTCTCCCAGCTCCGTTTCCACGACGCTTATTCATGGTCGATGAACTGCGCCGATAAACTCAGTGTTTTTCCCTCCATCGTTATGGACACTGAACTTTTATTTTCGTCGTTTTAGATGAATATTTACCTTCTTTTTGTTTTGATTATCTCTCATTTATCCGCATTTAAAGGAAATGTAACCGTTCCTTGTTTTCTTTATGTTCACTTTTAAGTTTTGCACTTTTTGCATGTTTTTTAGCGCTCCATTTATCTTTGCTTTTCCTTAACTCTTGTTATTCAGTAATTCCTTTTATTACAACGAGGACGTTGTAAAAACTAGGGGGAGATAGTGTTGCGTTCCCGCAAATTGCGTAGTTTACTTCTTTCCACACCAATCCATTCCACTCCGTGCACAGCGTAATGCTTGCAGCGATCCTGTGTGCCCTCACACAGCGCGAAGCTTACCACGAAGTCTTAGACACACGTATAAGTGTGCAGCACACTGTACAGTACGCTATTGTATAGCGCGCAATGCGTGTAGCACTCACTGCTATTGAACATGTACCGCCATGGGACATGTACTTAGGACTTAGGCCATTTTCCGTCCACCTTTCCCCGGAGTCGATGCGAATTCCCCTCACACACCTTACCTCGCATCCGACCCACATTGACCCCGAGCATTTAGCGAATGTGGCTCGCTAAAACCTACCCGTGTATTCACCCCTTAGTGACCCCGTACACCCCAGCGAGTGTGTCCCGCTAACCCACTGGCCGAGAACTACGGTAGCTAGAGGTCGGGTTACGTCCTTCATCTCATGGTTTTACTCCATAGCATTAGTGTGTAGATTCTTACCTAGTCTAGAGACTAAGTCTTGTACACAAACCTATGTACCGAGAAGTTATTCCCTTTCCCTTTTCCTTGAGGATCAGTTCCCCGTAAGGCACCCACGAGTGATCGTACTTCGCCCGCTAACCACTGCTCTCGGACTTTCTTCCACTAGAATGTCCAAGTCAGTCGTGTACAAATCTCCCATAGAGAACTTTCCCCGTGCCTTTGTACACGGATGCATTATTCATAACTACTAGAATCCAATGCTCCCATTGGCTAAGACGCGCCCCCAAAAGTCTATATAAAGCGCGCAGAAATAGTAATTCTGGTCATTGTTGTACTGGGCTCTTCCCCAGTAGGTTCCTGAGCTCTGACCTACACAGAGCTCCCGCACGTATGATGCGTTAGATTGTTGCTCTGGGCTCTGACCCCGACAGAGTTCCTGACATGTACACATGTACGCCTTAACTTTACATTGTATATAGTGCGCCCTCTATTGACCTGAGATGTAAATAATCACGAATAAAGTACTAGAGTGTGTGTGTAAGATATTTGTATCTGACTCTTTATTTGATAATGTCTCTCAACCCAGAGAGACGTTACAATATGTTAAGAGATGAAGTTGGACATAATAATACCGGAGTCTTATATAGTGCACGTATCTACCAACAATTAGGTACTCAAGGCGCTGGAAATTATGACTATTAGTAAAGAAAAGTTAATAAAGTTTAGAAATATGAGACCCATTAGGTAGCACCTTATAATGGTTAACAAGGTGCTGTGGCGCATATTGCAGCCACTGCCAGAAACACCGGGGCAAACCCTTCTCTTAGCGATAAGTGTTACTGGATTCTTTAACATGCATTACACAACACACAGGACCTACGGCTTTACGTCCCATCCGAAGGACGAAGCAAAAATGGTAAAGTGCCTTGCTCAAAAGCACAAGCACTATGTTCCCACGGTCAGGATTCGAACATACATGTATGTACCACGGCACACAAGTCGAACACCGTAAATGAACTACAGCACCCCACAGAACTGCAGCACCCCACCCCATGTTGGTTAAATGCAGAAGTTGACGCCAATCTCATTTCTTAATCGGCGGGGGATGGGGGGGGGGGGGTTAGTAATTGCTTATTCAAATCTTGCGATTTATTTGTTGTGAAACACTTTATCACACTGGTGTGAAACATTCTTGCTATAATGTGGGCATTACATGGCCATTTATAAATATTATGTCTTTTGCAAATCATGTTTCTGTTTCTAGGACTCCTTGGGCGGAAACGCGAAGACGTATATAATTGCCAACGTGCATCCTGGAGCAAAGTAAGTGTTCTAAAAAAATGCATTATTCGTGAACTGCTCTTTCATTGCTTTTTGGTCATCTTTGGAGTTTGGGTTGGGAGTAATTAAGATTCACTTTTTTATATTTCCCAGATGTTTTGGCGAAACACTCTCAACGTTAAACTTCGCACGGAGAGCCAAGATGATCAAGAACAAGGTACTCTCATATTTTTCTTGATTGTCAGTAATTGTTTTTTAATTAATCATCATATATTACTTACTTCATGTACGTTATTGCTAAGAACCTGACTCGAGCTGAATATTTGACTCGACCCGACTACCGCTGTGATTCGAATTGACTTGACTTGACTCGATGACTCGACTCGACTCGACTCGACTCACACAAATCAGTGACTCATTACAACTCTGCCTTCTGAATTTACATAATAGGTTAATACAAATATTGACTGCTTCGAGTGGTGTAGTTAAAACTAGCCTCCCGAGGTGATCCATGAAGCATTCTATTTTCTCAAGGCGAAGCCGAGGGAAAATAGGATGCTCCATGGATCACCGAGGGGGTCACTTGTACATTGGGGTCACCGATGGGGTCACTTGTACCTTGCTTGCAGGCTGTGGTGAATGAAGACACGCAAGGCAACACACTCCACCTGCAGATGGAAATCAAACGGTTGCGCGAGCAACTCCTGCAATACAGGCATATCCCGCAGGATCCAAATACCTCAGGTACTTAAATCTAACTTGAATTTGGGAGTAGATTTGAGTACTTTTATCCCCCACTGTTGGCCCTCTCAAACCCTCCCATTCTTTCACTACCGCAGAGCTGAAAAAGTGTGTCGCATCAAACCTATCAGTTGAAGGTTTTGACGGCTTCAAACTGTCACCAGGCAATACCACCAACAGTAGGAGGGTAAACCTGTCTAAAGGGTTCATGCAATGGATATTTCTCAGGAACACATTTTGTGCAACTTTCTACTCCTCCTAAATGTATGAGGGCTGTTTGACATCCCTTTTGGTTAATTTGACCGAAAGGTGCACTTCTTTCAATTTGCTAATAAAAAAGCATTTACAGGTTCCAGATACAAAACCATCGCCCCCTCAATCTGGCTGCCAGACGCACACATTTACAAAATTACAACACCGTCTGCAAATGGTGCCCCACTAAATTTAGTTCAAAATATATGGGAGCCCAGATAGGCCACATAAAGCTTACACTTGATCGTAACCCCATCTAAAAACACTTTAAAATTTTGCACCAGCGGTGCAGCAGCAGTGAGTATGGCAGTTTTGAGACATCATTTTGCCGACGCGCAAGGCTACGGCAACGCCAGTGCAGACCAGAAACCGGAGACTTTATTTTTTGGTCTTAGACCATTTGACTTTTTAACCACAACAGAGATTTGGACAGAAATGTTCAGTACTTGACTTTTGTCATTTTTGATGTCATTGTTTGAAGCCTGTCCTTACTATGTGAATGTAAATGCCGAACAAATTTGAGTGTCGAAAGAAAAAAAGTGTGATTTCTGCAGTTTAGATTAAAACAACTCTCAGTTATACTGATGTGGATGCCTTGATCATCATTATTGCTGGTAGACTGATAGTAAAGGTCTTAAACATGATACAGCTTTCCTCTGCTTGTTGGACATTTTGCTGTTCAGGCATGCACACACCCACAAGTCTAACCACCCCTAGCAACGCCGTATCAGCTATCCATGGAAACGGCGAGAAGAAATGGAGGAGTTATTTCCTGGATGCAATGTACCTCAGGGAGAAGACTGACATCGAAAAAAAGGTACGACCAAACTCAACCCCCACTTTGTTTTGTTTGGGTTTTTCTCTGCTCTTGACTGGGTCTTTACTTTGACTTCTCATTAGAAATCCTGTTTAAAAGGCCCATGCAGTGTAATTTTTGTAATGGAGTTTCAAAAATGATGCTTTGTGGAGACCCAAATATAATATAGAACAAAAGTTTGTAAAGGTCTCCACAAGGCAATTTGTGAAGGTGGATAGGTCTCCACAAGGATTTCACGAAATATGGATTTTACTCAAAAACTAGGAATTTCCAAGGTATATTTATCGTCACAAATTAAACTATTTTATTTAAGTGATGTTGAGAGGGTGGTGAGAGGTTCAAAACAGTCTTGACCTCAAAAATGTTCCAGAAAATCGCTGTCCATTTTCCTATAATGTAGTATTTGATTACTCAAAACTGCGTTTGACCAAATGTTTGGATATTCAAAACTGAAAGCTGCAACTGCACACTGCACTGGTAAAAAGTTGCATAAAGAGTGTGCCAGTTAAAACTGGCGTGCGGCAATCAATATGGGGCACTGGAGTGTTTTGCAGTAAGTATTTTTTAACTGTAAAAAGGCTTTAACCTGCTACCAGGATTTGAACAATGAACCAACATTGACAATAAAGTTACCGTTATCGTTTCGGTTTGCGGTAACACCATGTGGTAATAACTACTGCTTGGAAGATATTAGTTCTGAAAAGAACTTGTCCTACTTATTATCAACTTGCTAAGTAGTTTTTTTTTCTGATAAGAACAGTCCTGCTGTAAGTTCTAAACGAACTTGTCTTTGGTCTAGAACTTACAGCTGGACTGTTCTTATCAGAACAAAACAAAAACTACTTAGCAAAGTTGATAATAAGCAGGACAAGTTCTTTTCAGAAGTAATATCTTCTAAGCAGTAGTTATTACCACATGGTGTTACTGCAAACCGAAACGATACCGATACCCCACCATGCAAAGCCTCAAATCTTATAAAGTTACCATTGATAAAAAAGTGGTACCTGACAAAAAACGCCCCACCTTTGTGTGTTTTGTGTGATAGGATCGATAACTGATCAAATATTTGAGTATTCGATACATTCAGGACATCCCTATTCCAGAAATTGCTTACATGTATGCTACAATTGCCTCTTAGTTCTCGCACAAGGAAACTTGCCAAAATATATTGAGCAGAACCTGTACAGTTCCGTCATCAGGATATTTACTTTTGCCTCTTTTTTGTTTGCGTTGTTGAACAGAATCTTCTTGAGAAGATCTCCAGGCTGGGAGACCTGTCCAACAAGAAGGAGCAATACCTGCAATCCACCAAGATGATCGTCAGGTTCCGTGAGAACACCATCGCAAGGTTACAGAAAAGCCAGGCCAATGAGGAAGCTACTGAGGATCAGATGGTGGTAAGGCCCCCCCCCCCATCCAATTTCCAGACTCCCCCCCCCCCCCCATCCTTGTAGTCTAGGGGCTAGACGTTGTTATTGTTTGATATGCGATAACCCGCCGCCACGATAACCGGCTGCCGCGAGAGGGCGCTATCACGACCAACCGATAATCACCCACAAACCCGTCAGAACGTCTAGGCAATTCCTAAAATCTCCCCCGAAAAATGGGGGAAACTAGTGCGCATGCGCGACTTCTGCAGGCAATTACGGTCCGTTTTCAGTCCCACACATACTACACACAACAAAAGAGACGTTGTTCTGACGGGTTCGTGGTTGATATTGGTTGGTCTTGATAGCGCCCTCTTGCGGCGGCGGTTTATCGGGTATCAAACGATAACAACGTCTAGCCCCTAGACTACCCCCCCTTATATTTTGCTGAATAAGAATTTCTTTGGATGAGATCTGGCAAGGAAATGAGCTAGATACATTGTGTGTTTTTGCATTGGGTTTTTCTTAATGGGAAGTATTCGAGGTATTCATTTGTTGCTTTGTGTGTTTATCCATTTCAGAATGACTTGAAGAATGAGATAGGAGCATTGAAGCAGCAGTTGTCCCACAATCCCACCGTCACGCAGTACGCTATGGAGAATCGCAATCTGCGAAATGAAAACAAGAAACTGATGGCGTTGCAAACGGTGCGCTCAGCCATCGAGCACGACCACGATCGCTCCCAACACCTGGAGAAGGTCTTCAGAGAACTCATGGCCAGTATAGAGGGTGAGGCTTTAAATAATATCCCCTTGACAAAACAAAATATAATTTGGGACTTTTTATCAAGTTAATAAATTCATAGGAAAATATATTTTTAAGTTTGGGTAACTTTCATTCATACAGTTATTATGTGTCTATTGATAAGTGCTTGGTAATTTATCAGGGGTAGATTTCATGAAACTCTTCTTATCTTACGACTCATCTTGGGAATTAAGACAAGTCCCTGCTCTAAGATCGATCCTAGCTAAGACGCATCCTAAGACTGATTTCACTAAAACGCATCTTAGCAGGACGCATCAGAACTACCAATCTGATAGCTGTTTCATGTTTGTTTTTAACGTTTGACGAAACAGTCGTTTATAGACGCGTCTATCAACGTGAAATGTGAATTCAAATCGAAAATGTGAAAAAATACAATATCAGACATTTCAGAATGAACACCACTATTAAAAACCACTTGTCTAATTTGGTTTTAGAAAGCATTATGCCAATCACAGGAATTCAGTGGGGTTTTGGAGCCCCAGTCACAGGCTAAGCATTTCATCTCTGCCAGTTTTCTCTCACTAGGTTTCTTCAGGCTTTTGAGTGTCTGTAGTTACAAGAAGATTTCAACTCATTTTGTGTGATGTGACAATCCCTTCTATCTGTCTTTTACTCAGGAGGTGACAGACGAACCAGTGTGTGCCCTTCTCCCTCCCGGACACCGTCTCAGCACGGAGACCAACACATGGCCGTCTCCTCCACCATAGACAAATACAAGACACAGTGTAAACAGATGCAGGCTGAGAGGGACACAGTCAGTACACTTGTGCATTTTAGTATTTAACAATTTGTCTCCAGCAGAACCTGAACCCTAGACCACTGAACTGCTGTTCCCGTGCTCTAGCCATAAACCAAATCACATTTGTTTACAAAACTGCTTGTTTCGGTCATGCGACACTGTTTACCTCTTGAAATGTGGGCGGGTTTTAGAATGTTCATATCACAGTGTACAATGTACAATGCAGGCCCAAAAAAAAAAAACACCCAGAAAAACATTTGGGTGGCTGTTGTTGCCTTTTGGCAACCAACGGTGCACAAGCCTGTCATTTGCATTATGCTAAATTAAATTTATGCTAAATTAAATCAAACGATTGTTTCTGATCGTTATTAGTTCTGATCATTATTTTGGAAAACAATTTCCATTGACTAGGTTTTGAATGGTTAGCTGTAAAATGTTCTTTAGGAAACCGGCCTGGAAGAGCCGTATGTAAAGACAGTTGCAGAATGTGGGGTACCAGTTTGGGCACTATTTTTGGTCGGAGATTGGGACAACATTCTTTCAGGAGATTATGGGTTATTTTAAAGGAACCATGAGATGAAATTTACTTGGGAACATATTTTCTAAAACCTTCTACTCCTTTATAAGTGTATGAAAACTATTTGACATCCCTTTTAGTTAACTGTTCTGAAAATTGGCCTTCTGTACACTTTTTTAATTGCTTTTCCTGACAACTGAGGGCGCTGTTGATGTGATGTAATTTCAGGAAGACACTGTTCAGTTTAAGGGGTTTTCTGTTTGAATTGTGACCCGAAACATTGCTTATTGAAAACATTTGTGAGAAAAGTTTGGTTATTGTACAGAAACAACAAGGAATCGCCAAAGAAAAGAAAATTTATGATAGCAAAATATCCAAAATTCTCTCAACTTTTGGTACTGAAATGGCTGTAACATTGAGGTTTCTGCCTGGAATGACATCCCACTTTTAATCATAAACACAAGTATGTACATGTAAATTTGCATTAGCATAAAAACCCAAAACACACAAATACTCTTGAAAATGGCAAATTGAAAATAGGGTTAAACAGGACACAAAAGTGCCTTTTCAAGGATAGCATTAATAAAATGACATTGCATAGGCCCTATAATCGTATTATCAGTGAAAGTGACTGAAAACTTGAAAACTGGTGACGCTTTGTGAAAGTCCTATAGCCTTACGTGCCCTTTGTGAAATTGTACTGCAAATTTGAGTCAAAATTGATCATATTTGTCAAAACTCTTTCCTCATATGGCTCTAGTCGTATTGATGATCCCTGACAAAAAAATACCAATATGATTTCATGTGCATTTTGCAAATAAACTCAAGTGTCTACCATAAGATTATTTTTTTTCCTCAAACTCTTAAAGGCGAGACAGGAGCTGCTGGAGCAGACAGAGGTGATGAGACAGACCCAGCTGAAGCTGGAAGCCGAGGTAGCGTCTTACAAGAAGACCGTCAACGAGCTTGAAAATGCCCTGGAGGCCTTCAAGGTCAAGACCAAGATTGAGAGGGACACCATGAACAATCTACACATGAGGACTATCATGGTGAGAAGTTTTCTGTTGAATGTGTTGTCCCATTGACTGTTTCTTGGACAATGGCTCGCCTAGAAAACCTGTCGCCTCATACCATCTCATACCTTGAAATTAAACTTTGCTCAGTTAATCTCAAAAATCATCAGTCACGATGAGCCTTTTCATACTATTACATGTATTCAAATTTCATTTTCCGAATATGGTTTTTTTTTTTTAATGTAAAGCATGTACACCACTTTTGCATTAGTTTGGCACGGCATATTTCATATACTGTCGTGCTACATATGCAGGCAATTAGCCATGTCTCTATGCAAATGGCAAAAGTGTTTTTTCCCCATCACGTTACGACAACAGCTTATTTTATAACACCTCACCCACAGATTCTGTGTCTTGATTGGCCGAGAGCGAGTCACATGGTACTTTCTATTTTTGCTATCTTTCAGTGCACAGCCAAAAGTATACCCGTAGCAACCAAAGTACTATACTCGTAACAACCAAAGTACTATACCATTAGCAACCAAAGTACTATATCCACGGTGCAGTATTTATGTGCAAATGCATGCTTTATCTCGCGGTAAAGTAAAACTAGCCTCCATCGTTGATCCATGGAGCATTTTATTTTCCCTCAGCTTCGCCTCGGGAAAATAGAATGTCCATGGATCACCTCGGAAGGCTAGTTTTACTACACCACTTGAAGCATACAATATTTGTATACTACGATTTTTATTAGCTATTCTGAATCAATTGAACATTGCTTTATTTCAGACTATTACCACCCCAAAGAAGGTGGCACACAACCTGCGCAACCGAGTGGTCATCGTGCCCAGCGCTGGCGACGGCACTCCAATCAATCCGCGTCGACATTCGTCACTCCCCGAGGATTTGTCCCCTCTCAGAGATCAAGAGGGTATCGTTGATGAGGAGATACCGGAACACATGATTGAACAGTGCAATGAAGCGCTGACGGAGGAAGTTAGGAAACTCCAGGTATGATCACAATGATCACCAAGTTGTTCAATTTCAGTTTGGTGGGAAGAGAAATGAAATATTGAAAGGGGAGGGGGGAAGAACCTAAACATAAGGAAGCCTATTGACAAACTGATAGCTTCATTTTGGAAGATTCGAGATAAGCAGGCTTTCAAGTATTCCTACCTTTTCTACTTTTTTTTTTTTACTTTGCTCCTTCTTTTCCTACTGTTTCCTACTTTTTTTGTCCCACAACTCCGAAAATGCAATCTCATTGAATGTATTTCATAACTGTGTTACACACTGCCCTGATGTAAATCACACACTGAAAGGCTTGGGCGCAGGAGCACTGCAACTGTACTTCCAAAAGCTTATTTGAGGATGGAGCACAAGTTTCCAGCACAGAATGTGCCAAATAAGGCTTGCTGTAGGCAGGGTCACGTATCAACAAAAACTATTCCAGAAAGCCCGCAATAGTGCTATTTTTATTCTTGATTTTGTCCCCTAAAGTCCTACTTTTGTTCTGTACTTTATTTTGGGTGTATCCTACTGTTATTCTTTTCCACCTGGGTCTACTTGAAAGCCTGCATAGGTTGCTCAGAGAGTCTTGCAACTTGTAAGTGATCTAATGGAGCTAATGTGGATTAGGCCTGGGCAAGTAGTGGGTGGAGGAGTCTAGTACTCGTGAGTAGTAAAACAAATTCCCAGAAAAGTGCCCCCCAAAAAATGACATGTTAGTATGACGTGAAGTAACTATGAGCAAATAACATGGAAGTCACACCACATTCTTGAGCACTGAAATATCTTTTCCGTGCGATGTTTTGGGTCATTGTACTTGAAAATTTACTTGTTGAAAGTGGAATCCTAGTAAAAATAAACTGCTACTCGCGAATACCTGTTTCTACTCGCGCCAGGACGTGTACTTGAGTAGATGAAAAATCATGAGTAGAACAAGTAGCACAATCTACTCGCGAGTACTCACATAATCGGGTTACTCGCCCAGTGCTATTATGAATTTACTTACTGGGAACTTAATCTCGGATTTTATGAAATGAGTCTTTGTTACTAACTTTAACAGGAAGAGAACTCCAGACTGCTGCAGAGTCTGCAAGACGGAGACACCTGCCATCTGAAACTGAAGCAGACACAGGCCCTCCTGGAACGAGAACTGGAGCAGATAAAGCAGGTCAGAGACTGATTGATTAGAAACCCCCCCCCCCTCCCACTCCACACGTGGGCAACCTCCCAGCACCTCTCCAATGCCACACTGCATGGTCCAGTCGCGCGCATTGTACATGCGTGAACGCATATCAAACATTTGTGCGCACATATCTGGTATTAAGCACGACCTTGATTGGACAAGACACCATTTGGTATGACTTAATGGGTTGGTCTATTTTGGAATTGGAGGAATAGTATTCAATGCAGGGTTGTAAAGATCACGGTTGTAAAGATACGTTGACTTACTGGTAGAACATAATATACCCATGGCAGTGGCTGATCACATAGGTCTGGTGGTTAGGAAGATGTTTCCAGATTCCAAGATTCGGGTGTCGAGTTTAAAGTGTGTAAACCTATAAGTGTAAGTCTTAAATTTGAGACCCTCAAAAGTAGGAGGATCCGTCGGGCTTGTTTTTTTGGGAGGCACAATTTTTTTTATTTTGCGGGGAAGGCAATGTCGGAAGGTGAAATTAAAAAAACCCAAAAGAACCGTAGGTAGCCCATGACCTGAACTGCTTGGGGATGCTACTATTTTTGGGAATTCAATGTTTGCAAATCTGCCATAGCCACATTAAGTTACCTAGTTGTCTGGGTTTTCAATCAAACAAGTGGAGCATAAACAGGCTCAATATCAGTATAAACACAGTCACTATTTCAACCAGGGCTTGTTGCTTCTTTACAAATTGTTCCGTTATTGTCTTTGTCTAAGTAACAATCCCTGGTGCGATTGTCATGTATACCTGAGTTGTCCATAGTAAATGTTACTCAAACACTCGGAAACCTGATCAGGGCGCCTACACAAAACAATAGTCATGTTCTAGCGAAATAACTAGTGAAGTAAATGAGATTTCAGTACTTTTTGAAAATGTCCAGGGATGTTATTTGACTGAGTGTGGCAGTATCGGATTGTTTCTGGTCAGGGTGACCGTTTTAGCTGAATTTCGGCTAAATTTGACAGAATTTTTTGGAAAAAAAAGAGTTTGAAAGAAAATTCGACAGAATGGATTTTTTGGGCAGATTTCTGGCAGAATTCTCAAAAAATGGTTATTTAACAGAAAAACATAGCAAATTTGAAAAAAATGGCACATTTGTTTAAAAAAGCTTTAATCTATTCAAGCAAACCCCTTGCATAATGGGACAGGTTGCCTGGTCTAGCTGCTGAGGTTCACTGGGAACCGGATTTTGCCTGAAATTTACGCAACTTAATAACATCTTTTTGTGACTACAGACTGTTTATAAGGTCATTTGAACCTTAATTAAGGCAATACTACAACATCTGCATGCGATTTTAAGTGTTTATAGTGTATTTCGAGTGATTCTGGGGAATTTGGCAGATTTTTGATTAATCTGACAGATTTTTGAAGTGCATTTAGCAGAATTTGGGCATGACCTTACGGTCACCCTGTTTCTGGTTCTTGGTTCTGCTAACAAGTACCGGTATGAGCCTGAAGATCTAAGAAACCCGAAGTGTTGGATTTGCCAAGTAATAGATGTCTTGTTGAAACGATTCTTTGTTGCAGCTTTTGGAATCAGAACAGCAACAAAAGATGGGGTTAAAATCTGAAGCGTCCAAGCTCTCTGCACGACTTGAAGACATGCAGAAAGACTATTGCAGTAAGTATAGGTTTGAGGACTTAGTAGCCAATTTGTATGGATTTGCTAAGCACGCGCATGTAGTGAGGATGAAAAATACATGCTAAGTGAGAGCCGTTTATCAACCAAAATTCCATGTTTTGTAGTAATTACTGTATTAATGCTCCACAGAAAATATTGTATCCAGTAAATTATGTATATTGCTCCAGTAAAGTATGTAAAGGTGAATTAATATGGTTGCGTTCGTTTAGCTCACCTGGGTTGACACAGGTAAAGGCAGAGGGGTCAGCCACGACAGCCGGGCTAATCGAACGCTCAACCATGGGCCATCATGATCCTGATGTGATGGCCGCGGCCGAAGCCACTGACAAAACGCCACTGACAAAACGGTCGTAGTTTGAGATTTACTGCCTTTTAGTCAATTGCAAAACTCACAAAAGTTGGGCTGAAATTTGCACCTCAAAAGCCGCAATGAACTCAATTAATGATTACCTTTAGACTTCAAATAAAGTCAACATTTAAGTCCACTTGAGATTTCCGCTGTCTGGTTGCCCTATTTGTCAGTTTCTAGGGAATGAACAACGCATGCGTGACGTACTTGCACTTGTGACTCTGCTCCACGAGCAGAGTCTGTGGTGGCTGACCAGAGTTAGCCCCAAAAATGACGTCAGAGCTAATCGAACGGCACGGGGCTGACCCGTGTCGACCTGGGTGAGCTAACCAAATGCACCCAATGGAACTTTAGGTGAATTAATTTTAAACTGTATCATGTTTGTGTTGCACTGTATAGTTGCCAAGAGTGAGGCCGAGGATATGAGAATCATGCTGCAGTCTGCAGACAAAGTGATGGAGGAAGAGAAGAACAAACTACGTGAGGCAGCCACACAGAGAGAAAGAGATGTCGCTGCCCTGGAATCTAAGGTATTGACCAAGCCGGGCACGCTATCAAATCTTATCGGGAAGGCCCCCTTCGTTGGCGAAAGCAGTGTGCTAGCTATTGTTCAGATAATCTGTCACGGGGCAGTAGCTTCGCACAATAGTGTACACAATTCTTTCGCCATTGAAGGGGGCCTTGTGAGGTGCAGTGATCACGTGCCTGGAATTGTCTATAGTGGCAGAAGTGGGATCCAATTTTTTTTTTTTGGGGGGGAGCTCATTTTTGTGCCACCTAAACAAAGTTTTGGGAGACACTAACCAGTCTATAAATTCTGTCTGACCGTATGTAGGTTAAAGTTTCGGTTTAGTTTAAAACAAAAAATGTATAACTCCTACATGCTCTCATGGATTTTGATGAAACTTGGATGCAGTGGCCCTTGGGTGGGAACTGGAAGACACAATTCTTCATCGGATTGCTGATGTCAAAGGTCATATATGGGGTCATTAGAGGTCATTGTATAAATATCCTCCAAATATCCTCCAAATGTTTGTTTGTCTACAGAATTTGGTGGATTTTAGTATAACTTGGATGGAGTGATCCTTGGGTGGGGCTTCATCTCCACTCATCCGAAATTGGAGGCCTAAGGTCATGTAGGGGTCATATGAGGTTGTTTAAAAATGCACAAATAGGGAAAAAAGGCGCGACACATGCAGTCCGTGGACCACTTGTCTAGAGGGGGGACTGAATGGGTTTTTGACAATAACAAAGTTTGTTTTGCCTTCCTCCATGCTCGGAGATTAGGGATGGGCACAGGCCACCAGCCTCAAGGAATCACAGTCACACGCTATCATGTACAGTCATGAGGTCGGGCGACCAATCCTCCCCCACCCTCCCCCTCCTCCCAAGTTGCCATGTCTGAATCCAAATTTTATTTGGGTTGACTAGAATCATCGCTCAGGAACTTCAAACTGGCATGTGTTGCGCAGTGCGTAAAGCGCTCGCCTCTCATCGCTGTGGCTCAGGTTCGATTCCCGTCTCAAGTCATATGTGAATACAGTTGTTTGTTGATTCTCTCCTGCCCCATGAGAATTTTCTCCAGGTTCTCCGGTTTGCCTTCCTTTGCAAAAATCAACACTTTTGATCCAGCTGTGCTGTGTGGTAAGACAGGGCCGGGGTCTCATGGCGGCTGCCTAAAATGCCTTTACATGCCTTCGGCTCAACCACGTTGTAGCTGCATCCTTCTCAATTCTGCTTCTGTTGCCAGTATCTAAGTTTCAATTCAAATGGGTGTTAATACCCCTGTTTCTTATTGACAACTTTCCCACCCAGGTCCTGCGTATCGAGTTGGAGCTGTCCACGGCTGAGCGAGAGATGGAGAAACTTACCGAAGAGAAACGGGAGCTGCAGGACGTCGGCAACACGCTGCAGGAAGAGGTGAACTTCAAGGAGCAACGGCAGGAGGAATTGGAGTCGGTCATCAGGGAGGGGAGGGACCATAGACAGACAATGGCAGAGGAGATACAGGTAGGAGATGAAACAACGATCACCCACAATGACTTTTGAGGTTGTCAGTGAAAACCTAATTCAAAACTTAAAGAAGGATTACAATGTGGAATTCCCACTTGGAAAATTGCCCCTCTCCAAAATCCTAGATTAACCCTAACCCCCTAAGCCCTTTTGCCAGGCACCATCCTCAATCCACCAAAATCCTTCAAATGTTTGCACTTATGTTCAAATGAATGATACCCTTGTAGCGCCTCAATACCTCAAAATTGTCAGACAGTTCTGCCTCTCCAAATGCATTCATCTTCAAACCTCCAAAATAATCCTCCTCTTCAAACACCATTCATCCTCAGTCTTCCAAAATCCTCATGTGCTTTAACACCATTCATCCTCAATCTTCCAAAATCCTCATATTTCTTAAACACCACTCATCCTCAATTCTCCAAAATCCTCATGTGCTTCAACACCATTCATCCTCAATCTTCCAAAATCCTCATGTGCTTCGACACCATTCATCCTCAATCCTCCAAAATCCTCATGTGCTTTAACACCATTCATCCTCAATCTTCCAAAATCCTCATGTTTCTTAAACACCACTCATTCTCAATTCTCCAAAATCCTCATGTGCTTCAACACCATTCATCCTCAATCCTCCAAAATCCTCATGTCTCTCAAACACCATTCATCTTCAATCCTCCAAAAAACGTCAGGAGGATTTTGGAGGATAGAGGAGGGTTAGATTTAAGGTTCCTCTTTCAAGTGCCATTACTTAACTCATTAAGTAATGCCACACCTTTTTTCCCATTCAAATAGACATAACCAAAGCGAGGCTGGAAGAAAAAATAGTCTGGTTCCTTTTTGGATATTAAAACTTATCACTCAGTACTGTTATTGGATACAGGGAACATGACTGAAATGGTGGCAGCATGATAAAGGTCTATTGGCTAGCTTTACAAGCTGAAATATTCTCACACAGTCATTTTGAGAGATGTCGTATTCTGTTTACCTATTACCGTTGATAAAATCAGAGATGAAACTTTTCCGATTTTAATCGGAAAACCGACTTTTTGAATTTTCCAACGAAATTTCCGATTTTTTTTACAGTGTGTCCCACAAAATTTGATTTTCTGATGATTTATTCACAAAATGTCATTTTATTTCAATCATAATTTCGAAGAAAAGTCGATGGAAATGGCGTGTTAAAATCATCGCGAACGTAGTTTTAATCTCTTTCACCAGTCGTTATTGGAGAGTTTCAACGGTAGAAACACAGGGCATAACACTGATCGGAGCCTTCTCCGGCTGGACAAAAGGTTTAACATTGACAGGTGACATGGAAAAATCACTGTGTCGCACGTGCGTGCGAATATACAATGGTACCAGCGTACGTACCGCACCACCGTACCGTCCGCTAGCACATGGCCGGCCGGGACGGGTAGCCTTGTGAAGGATCCTGTGGATGAAATCATTATGTTGTGCAATATTCGGAGGTTTCAGATTCAGTTGTACAAAATGCAATGCTTTAAAAATCATGATGATTATCTCGAGGATAGCGAAGAGAGCATTAGCGAAACATTTCACTGGCATTTGTTGGAAGAGAAAGACGATAATGCCTGATATTTTCCCATGTATGAATGCAAGTGGTTGAATCATGGACATGATTGAAGCACCATGAACGGAGCCCTTGTCTTTCGGACTTTTCCCTCGACTTTCTCAAGTAAGAAGTGAACTTCTTTATTGATGACTCCATTACTCTAACCGTAATTCAGGCATTTTATGCAATGAAAACACTAACCGTTTTTTTTTTCATCGTAAAATTTTGTTTGAATCAAAAATAAAGCAGGAGTTGGTGTCCGGAAATTGGGCATGAAGTGTATTGTACATGCATGTATATGTGTGTAATGGCAGCGCGGCCCAGATTTCGGACACGTATTTTTGTTCGGCCTATTTTCCGATTTTTTTGCCACATGCCAGTTTCATCTCTGTAAAATGTACCCTGACCTGATGTTTGCCTAGTCCTTGATGGAGAAACTGGACGGGGAGTTTGAGAAGAATGTGAAATTGTCAGCCGAGCTGCGTGAGGGCTCCGACAGTAAACAACAGCTGGTGGAGAGCCTAGAGGTCATGGAACGGCTACAAACCGACAACAGTCAGTTGCAGAACCTGTGCAGTGAAAAGGTAAACAGTTCGTCTATTGATGTACCTGTTGGTGTTGGTCGTATTTTAGGCCCACTTCAAACGTCAAACTTCTGCCGTGTGTTACTCAAATAATGGCCCAAAATTTGAAATACACACTGCAGAAAGACAACGTTTGAAGCAATAGCCAGCGTTCTGCCGAAAGTTCAACAAGTCTTGTTGCTCTGAGCGGCAGAAGAGCGGCAGGGCTTCAAACGGCGAATTTCTGCCAGGTTAAATTCACTTGGCACGTCCCTAATCAGAATCGGGTTAAAATGCCCATGTGCCTGCATGCTGTTTGCATTTTGGCCCCCATGGACATGTTTCAAACTTGTCCTGGAAACCCAAAATGCCTTTTTGAATCTCTTCTCAGAATTCGTACTAAGCATCGTATCCAGCCAACCGCTATTCTCGACTAAACACCGTTATGATTGAGATGTTGTGACATTTTCTCGAGCAAGGAAGAGCAACATGATTAATGAACAAACAATGAAAATGCAGTAATGTTATAGTCACGTGGTACATACAGCGCGTTATAATACCACGTGAATAAGTATGCAACATTTTATGGGAGACTTTGAGGGCTTAGTTTGATCAATTTTTAGGGGACAGATTAGCGCAGCATGATTGACGCGAGACAGCGGCCCAGGCTCGTATACATGTATGCGTAACCTTCGGTCAACGTTCTAGACTTTCATACAAGACGGCCAGAGCTTTTTATGCAATCACACTTGTTACCTAACGTATCTTTCTATCTATCTATATGTCTTGCCACATGGACTGGCAGAATAGTGGATATTTGATAAACGCAATAAGTATTCTAGTTGGCCTGATGTTCTACATAATATTATCTCTCAAATATCTTTTCTTGTTATTTTTTACAGGATACTCATTTGACGAGAGCAAAAGATGATTTGGATGCAGCAGGTGCAACTATAGTGCTGCTGCAGAAGAGGGCAGCTGAGGATAAGGTATTTGGGAAATGTTATTGACCATTAACACCTGTGCTATATTGTATTTATTAACTGAAGAATCGATAAAGCTTTTGAGTGCTCCAGTGGTTTAAGCCGCTCCAGTGAGTAACAGGCAGTGCGGTTTCAGGCGCTTCAGGGTCTAATAAGCCTCTGTACTAATGACGTCACACTTTGTTTGCATGTGTACTTTCCTATGGAGCCAATGGGGGTCCATGATCCACTGAGCACCATAGGAAAGCACACACGTAAACTAAACGTGTGACGTCATTAGTACAGAGGCTTATTGGGTTGAGAATGTGGGCTCCAGTCCAGACTGGGACCTCTCGTGCTGAAAAAAAATGTGCAAAATGATATCAGGCCAACTGTACTCACTCTTTGACTGACAACGTTCTCCAAAAATGTTCAGGAGGCAAAGACAAGGGCCTCAGTATTTCAGTTTTTAAAGCAGATTTTCTTCAATATTTTGCACCTTAGATGTAAGTCTAGTGATATCAACTTGAGGCTGAATACTAGACTGGGACATATCCAACCATGGTCCAACTGTTTGAAAAGACTGACTGCTTCATAAGTTTGGTGGCTGACTATGGAGAAATGTGTAGAAATAGAGCCAAGAACCAGACATGCCAGATTGCTTTTGGCACGGTTGATGGATGCAGTACTGAAGGGTTGTTGGACTGGTTGTTTCAGGTGCCAGTCTATTTTCTTGTATTGCATTTTTTGGGACTCTCATACACAGTATTGACAGTTGCAAATTTTCGGACTAGCTCCAGTCTAGCTTGGGGACCATAGGGACGCACCCCTGTATTAAAATTCCCATAGACACCAGTGCTAAATGCCCATACTTGCTAGTAAGTAAAGACACAAATTTCTTTGGATGTTTCATAAGGGCCCGTGACCATTCAGCCCCGGTATGAAAAGGGCCCCCTGGTAAGCTCGTCCTCTCCCAAGAAGTCCTTTCGTACCGTCCCAGCTACCAGCCCAGGAGCTGGTCCGGTTGCTAATCAGGAACTCCTCTATCCTGGGGTCTATTGTTTGGAAGTATTGACACATGTAATATATCCCAGAAGAAACCTGCTTGTGGTTTTTATTTCTCAGCGCTAAACAATAGAACAATAGGATTTTATCTTTAATCCGGTAAGTCTGCTATTGTTCTGCTCTGGCTGTTCTCTGAAGGGCACCAGCAATAAATTGATGCGCCTGACTGACTTCAAAACTTCTGGTCAGATAGGACTATGTACTGGACGAGACTGGGCTGAAGACCGGACTGGCTCTGGACCGGACGAGGTACCGGGGGGCCCTTTTCATACCAGGGCTGAATGGTCACGGTCCCCAAGTTGGTCTTTCCGTGCATAAATTTAGCGTAAAGTTAATTGCAAAATGTCACTCACGTGACCGATTGAAATGTCACACACGTGACCAATCGAAATGTCCCACACGTGACCACAGAACAATTCTTATTTAGTAAAACTAAAAGAGAGGGTGTACATTGTTTATGTATTCTGTAAATCGCAAAAAAAAAAAACTTGTCTTACTCCAAAATTAGTAAGGGTGTGTGTGTCCTTAGAATTTTGCAGAAAAGTGTGAATTTCTGATATGGGCCAGATAACATTTTTACGTCTGATGTCACACATGGGACCAAACTTTGATGACCCCTCCAAATTTGTTGACACAAGTTGTGAAAGTAGAGACTATACTGTGAGGAAGGCAGTAAAAAGTACTAACATGATGAATCAGTGAACGTAATATGTCAGATGTAGTTAACAAGGGGTAAAGTTTAAAAAATCAGATGAGCCCAATTTTATGTCACACAGTGCCCTAAAAATTGCCCAGCAAGGGTTACATTAGTCATTATCATCACCAATATTAGGTTTTGCCCTTCACTGACATATAAACACTGAAAGTTGGAAAACAATCACTCGAGTGGGACTCGAACCCACCGCCCCCTGCTTTCTAGTGCCCACTGAGATTGCGGGATCGGTTGGCTGGTTCGAATCTGATGTGCATGTAGCAGTGGGTACCGCAATCAAACTATTCATAAGATGGAGTTTTCTTAAAGGGAATATTGTTACACTGACATGTTTGAAGTTTTGTGTTCAAAAATGCTGAAAAAACCAAGAAAAACTAAAATGTTCAAGTAGTCTGGTTCCCTGACTCCACTAAAGATGATATGGATCAATTCATAGATGCCGGAAAACTGTAAGGTAAGGGAACCAGTCTAGCTGGCCTGCATCCGTTCATGAACATGTAACCAATAGCAAACAAAATTTGGAGTGAAAAAATGGTAAATTTGGAGCAGTAGTTGAAAAATAGGTTAGGTTTTTCCAACGGTGGTCGGCCGACCACCGTTGGAAATTTACAATAAAATACCACTTTTCTTGAAAATGACTTCACACCAGGTGCCATAATTTTACAAGATGCTTAAGACCGTAATTTACCAACATCCTAGTAAGGTATTTCGTAAAACTTTGGTATTTTGTTTTTTCGATGTTTGCAAATGTTGTATATTCCCTTTAATATTGATTTGCATCACCCCGACGCAAATTCCATCTGGGTATAGTATCAGTATAATCGTATTCTCCAATTCCTCGATGCCCTAGGATGCACTAGCGAATATGGTCACTACCGTGCAAGACCTACGCCAGACCATCCTTCTGAAGGAAAACTCCCTCAATATGACTGCCCATGAGCTGGAAGACAGCAGATACCAATGTGAGACCCTGCAGGCCGCCCAGGATGAATACAAGAACGAGGTGCAGGGTCTGCAGCGGGAGCTAGAGGAGATGACAGAAGAGATGAGCAGCCTGAGCTGCACTCACAACATGCAGGTTAGTGATCATCCCATTGGAGAGGATATCCCACACCCAAATTTCTGGGTTTGAGCATTCTAATTCAGTTTTTTGAGTGGTGTTATTATTTGGCATGAACAACATGCATGAAAAGCAAATCCAATGTGCCTTTAATGAAACAACCTTAAAGGGAAAATACAACATTTGCAAACATAAAAAAACGAAATGGTCAAATTATCACGAAATACCTTACTAAATTGTTAGGGACTGACAGTCTAAAGCATCCTTTAAAATCGTGGCTCCTCGTGGGCTGACATTTTCAAGAGAAACTGTATTTTTCCAACGCTGGTCAGCCGACCAGCGTTGGAGAAAACTGGCTTTTTTCAAAAACTGTTCTTAACTTTTCATATTTAGTTATTCTGACTTTTCTTTGCAATTGATCACACACCTGTGAAGAGGTACAAGCCTGCTAGACTGATTCTCTGACCTTACAATTCCCCAAAGTGTATTGATTGCTTCGTTTCATCTTAAGTGGGGTCAGGGAACCAGACTACAAGAACATGATAGGTTTTCTTGGTTTTTCCAGCATCTACAAGCCCAAAACATGAAACAAGTCAGTTTAACAATATTTTATATAACATACTAATCCTCCAATCCATTTATTTATGAAAATTGCAGCAAAAGCCAATGTTGTACATTCCCTTTACGGCTAATAATTTCTCGATCATATTTAGATGGAGATGCTTCAAAGCGACTTGGATGAGGTCAGAGGTCAATATGAGAGCCTGATGGGAGAGATGACAGAGCAAGAGAAGCACCTACAGACCGTACATGCAGAGTGTGAGGCCAGTGCCAGCCAGGTAGACTCCCTCAAGAAACAGGTCAGTCAGTGCTCAGTCTTTCAGAATAAAGCTTATATGTAGCGGTGTTGTAGTCATGCGCATCTCAAGTCCTCGCATGTCCATCACAAGTCCTCCAGACCCAAGTCAAGTCACAGGCTATTCGAATGAACTGTGGCAAAATCATTCCTTTGTTATGGGACACTTTCGGTTTTCAGAAAATGTGCGCGTGTATCAGATGTTATGACTACGGCTGATTTGTAAGAATCTGGGGGTCGTGTGGTTTGTGATTGTGCGTCTGCGTATATGACCTGTTCTATCAAAAGCAGACGCTTCTGGGCAGAGGTTGAAATTGAGATAGGGCCAAAAAACTCTGTGGGGGTGATTTTTTTTCAATTTTGAAATTTTTACATATTTGTAATCCTGAACATGCCTTAAATATACTATAAAAGTTTGAAACCCTAATTTGAACTCTAAATATAGTATTTTTGATGATTTGTTAAGGTATATCAGTTAAAGAAATTACTGTTTTGTGACGTTCGAGGCCATTTTCTGTATTTTCTACTTTTCGACACAATGAACTTCAAAACAGCATAACTTTGCCAAGGAATGACCGGTTTCAAAAATTAAACCACCTATTAAAAGGAAAAAGAACATTTTAACAATATGCAAAAATATCATTTTTGACCCTATGCCCAGAAAAGTCTGATTTTGACAGAACAGGTCACATATATGTATTGCAGCTCAGGAAACCAAGTCTTCGCAAAATTCACTGTATGCCATGAAAAAATCCCTCTCAACAGTTTCCAATTGCAATCCGACATGTCTCATAAGCAAGAATGAGAGGTTGATATGATAATTAAATTGGAAAAAATTCCTATGTGGTGATTCCCCGTATCAATTGGCTTGCAGGCGTAGTTCCCATGTCAGTTTCTCGTATTACATACAATAAGAACGCACGTCACACGTAAGATCCACAGGGATACGTAACATATGGGCTCAAATTTCAAACCTGCCGAAACTCGGCAATGTTCATCCCAGCTGTTACTTGTCACTAGACTTGTGAAAGAATTTTGCGATATACTTTTGACGGGGCTTGTGATGGACTGGGGGGGGACTCAACACTGCAAAACAGAGGCGTATTAGACTTGATGACAAGTCGTTAGATAGTCGTATTTTGTCCGTGAACTTCGGTCGAACTCCATCGGCGCGACTGGTATAAGACTAGTACGTAATCGGCCAAGTTGCGACAAATCTAACGACTTGATGAAGAAGTCACCATAAACAAAGCAAGAAATTATGAAATTTAGAATAAATTTTCAATTTGTGTTATTTTTCTTTCTTCATTTAACCAAAGTAAGGGACTGGGTACCCGATTGTTGGGACCGGGTACCCGATTCCCGTAACAGGCGGGTGCCCGCGGACTTGTGATTAGTTTTTAAATCATAGCAAAAATCCAGAAGTAAAGTATTTTCCACCGCGCCCCCGTCCCCTCTACTGCCAAGCTGCTGGCGCGACTGTGTGAGCACTGCACTCACATGTTCACTCCCCCTGCGTTCAGCAACTAAAAATTGCGCGGGCCTACTTTGCAACTTAAACTGGATTCCTTATTTTATTTATTAAGAGACTCGGTGAATAAAATTGTAAGTTTCTAAATGTGAAATAAATTATAGTAAACCTGAGGTTGAGTCATTATTGTGGCAAAGATAGTGATGTTTACCAATGTTTACACGAAGTTCGTTGAGCAGCCATCAGTCAGCGAACGGCCTACACACAGTGCACGCACACAAACGTGTGTTCACCGTCGATCGTGGACGTCCTATTGTCCCTCTTTTTAACTTTTTAGGAAGACTCCCATAGGTTTTGTACACGACCCCAATCGCGGACGTATGCTGGGAATCATGGGCGATATTGTTCTCTTTTGTTCTCTGGCATTTTTCGTCCACGGTTTGACAAGATGAACACGTACATCACGGCCAACAACAGTGCATAATGGCTGGCTGTGCCATCGCCGAGCAAGCATATATGTAGCTAGTTTAGCCCTCGCAGGCTGGTCTATGGTAAGTAGCACGTGCAAAGTGGTGCTGTGCTTTGATGCTTCGTCATTCAGCGCATGCGTGCTTCACACCAGTTGCCTGACGAGTAGCACTTGGTACGTACATTGTGATTGGTTCTTTTCGTCTCGGAATACAGTTTTGTGATCCCAAAGATAGGCAGGTCTGCTAATGCATTTGTTTTCCATTCATCCTTCTGTGGGTGACAGTAATTGCATTTTCAGCATGATTGATGTTTACTTAAGTCACTGTCTTGTCAAATTAAGATTCACTGTATGTACATGGAGAGAAAAACAGAGGCCAATATGACATAGACGTAGACGTGTACCATGAAGAAAAACAAATTGCAATCTGTCCAAAATTGGGATCAATCAATCTTTATTTGAATACTTAACTCCCAGCACACTTTATATTGAGTCTCCGCCTTCCTAGATGTTTACCAACCACTCCAGTCATGAGCCAGTAAAACGAGCTCATTACGTACATGTTAAGGATTTGTATCCATGTTTAATTTGGTAGGCAGCTTTGATACATGTACGTGTACTCGTCAACCGCTTCGTGGGTTAGACTTCCAGTCAACTTTGCCTGTTACCTACTAAGTGGGCGATCAACTAAAGAACACACACAGACATACACCTTTGGCGCTTTCTTGAAAGTACCAGGGTATAGCAGTAAGGCCAACAAAATAAGCTCTGCTTCCGATTACATGGCATTTGAGAATAGGGTAGGTAGGTAGGGAAATTATTTTCTTTTTTGGCAATTTTTTTTGTGTCGATCATACCGGTATGGAGGTGTCTGCGTGTAGTCAAGGGTAAAAGGTAATAATTGATGGTTTTCAGGTTTTTCCCCTTATTTTTCCCAAAACAAAATTAGGTACAGGCAGTTTTGTCCCAAAACAAAATTAGGGTAGGGGCTGTCAAAATAAGGTACAGTAGGTACCGGTTGGGTAACGGGAGCAGAACTTTTGTTATTTGGCCTTATGCATATTAATACCAAATATTTCCCATCGTGAAACCCAAACATTTAAGCATCTTTTGCATGTTATTTGACCAACATTAAATAGTACATATCAACACTTTTATACCATTCATATTTCAAGAGATATATACATGCAGTGCAAAAGAGAACTGGTTGCTGAAAGCTGGCATCAAGTGACCACAACATAACATTTTGTAATTTACAGAGGGTGTTGATTTGGTTGCAAAGCCCAGTGTGTGTCGCATGTAGGAGAGGCAGGGAACATTTATCTTTAACTTTAAACATGTTAATTGCACAGGTTGAGGGTTCCACTCCAGCCTGGAGTTATGGTGAGTGTGCCCTTGGACAAGGCTTTGTCACTCATTGCTTCTCTCCACCCAGGAGTAAATGCGAGGGCAGAGTTGTGGTTGCTTTTAGCTGCTTTGTGCTGAAATGGCAGCATCCAGCTGTATACTCCCCAGGGAGCTGAGATGGTATTTGGAATGTTTCATTGGCCCAATAAGCAGGGTAATAATGATGTAGCGCCTTGAACACCAATAATGGTGGATACATGCGCTCTATAAATACGCATTAGTATTATTAACATATTATTAAATAGTCAAACAAAGCAACTTCATGTATTACCGTTAAGCCTAAAACATTAAAATAAAATACCAAGTTCTACATTTACACAAGAGCGCACACAATCCTCACTACAATTATAGCTTGGGAAAAACTCATTACATGTACTTCTGAAGTGAAGGAGTACTGCTGACCTGACAGTGGCCACCCATAATAGTAGACATTTCAGTGGCGTAGCCCAGCGTTTACCCCCCAAAAGAGTGCCCTTCTTTTTTGATAAAGTGCTTTCTTGATTAAGTCGTGCCATTTTTGTGCCAGCAGCCGTTACAATTTTTTTTATTTTGCGCGTATATTAGTGCATTAATTAATGGTTTCAGATGTGACGGAAAGTGTCTTACACTGTAACTGACTGGTATTAGTGATGTAAAATGTACAGAGATTTCCAAACGTACATGTACATGTCAGGTTGTAAACTGTTCTGTGCATCATACATCACCAACCTTTTTATGACTGACCTAAATTAAGCAATCAAGCAAAGATCCAAATGAATTTCTGTCAAGTAAAAGAAAACAAACTGGAAACCTAAAGACTACGATCAACACATACATGTACATGTACGTGTAAACTATCTGCGCACGTACCGATGTACAAAATATACATGTAAACACGTGTACACACAAATACACTCAAAAATCTTGAAAATCTCAGTACTAGTTAATTGCTTGACACAGAAAGTTGCATTATACATGTACATGTAGATTATGTATTTTTCACTATATAACAAAGTGTACAAGTTATTTACATGTGAACGCAATTAAAGGTTTTGTCTCTCAATGTTTCCTAGTAATCCTCAACCAACTTCCAAATCACCAAAATTATTATCTACAACTTATACAATACATAATACTCAATGTGTCCCAATGTGTTCAGTAGTGTTTGTGAAAGTCTGTAGGCACCCATGAAGGAAAAGTTCGCCAATGATCATCAGTGGTTATGTCAAATGCAGAGCATGTTATGTAAGAGCACATGCACTACCCTGGGAGAGACGTCGTGAAAGATCTTGTCTATGGTTGAATGGTAGTCATTCAATTGATAACAAACAAGCACAATGGATTCCAAGTCAAAATTACGCCAGATTTGGTACTGTGCTGATAGTGACAAGAAATCCACAGTGTTTCTTGCAGTTTGTAATTCTGCCACTACGATGCAGCATCGGCCTTTGCTCATGGCCTTATCTTAATTATAAAGATTGATGATCTCTTGCCGAGCATCAGCTGTCTACTTTGAATAATTACCCAAATATATACATGAATTGTAAAATTACATGAAAACATCTTTAATACAGCAGGAGTCATTTGTTTTGTGTTTGATGAAAGCTGCTTTTCGCGGTCACAATCCTTAGGAGATCTATGTACATGTACAGGTACATTGTATTCAGTTCTCTACCATTAAAGGATATTAACAAGAAATCATCAATATTTTGTGACAGTACATGTACCTTCAATT